AAAGAATCCTTTTCCGGTCGATGAGACTTTTTTTTCTTGTCGACCGGAAGGAGGAATCCTTCCGGTCATGGGAGCGGGAGCGACGACTCCCAAACCCCCTTAAGCATGAGGGGCGGTTTGGGGCGCCGACTCCCCAAAAATAAATTAAAAAAATAAAAAAAAACATTTGATGGCCGACTCCCAAAGTCGGCCATCTTTTGGAAGAACGACTCCCAGCCGACGACCCCTCGACCAAAACGGGAGTCGTCGACTAATTTTTGGGAGTCGTTTTTCCAACCCCCTTTTTTTATTTACTTCTCTGGCCAATCGATGCAGACAGGCTTAGCTGTTGACCAAGGGAGTAACAGAGACAAGGAGAATAAACTGAAAAAGTCAAGAGAAGGTTGTTTTCAGGGCAATGGCTGGTTCATGAAAGCTTCTGGCAGGTGACTCTTAGTGGCTGATGACTTGTTGGAGTGACTTGCCCCTTGCCCTGGGTTTTGGATGGGCTCACAGCTTGCAGGCTTTCATGAGCTTTGTTGCTTGTGGAGTCGATGATATTGAGAAATCTGGAATGCAAGAGTGGATTTCAGTCCTGGATCAGAATCACCCAAGGATTAGGCTGGGAGTCTTCTAATAACAAGACTGTGTGCTTTGATTGTGCTCCAATGAGTTAAGCAATGTGTCCTTTGTAGGATTTGGCTGATTCTCAATTGGAAAATTGGAAGGTGTATATCATGTTGAGGGTTCAGTTGTTGGGTTCTGGTTTCTAGATCAAGTAGGTTGTTCGTTTGATTTATAAGTTTTTAGAGTGTGTTCTTGTTTCTTTGTATGATGCTCTTCTGATCGGTATTTTGTTGTTGTTGTTGTTGTTGTTTGAGTGTTGATGATTGTGTTTGGTTGACTGTATGAATTTTGAAAGTGTTTGTTTGTTGAAGTCGGGGGATTGATTTGGTTTGATTTTTTATTTATTTATTTTTGTTCAAAGGATGATGAGTGAAGTTGATTGCTGGGTGCTGATCACCAAAAACCAAACAAAACCAAAAAAAAACAACAAACTCACCAAAAAGAACAAGATGAGAACCTCATCAAGCTCATCCCAACAACAACAACCAACAACAACCAACAACTCACCATCTTCATCTTCATCAGACTCACCAGCAACCCAGAGCCAACAAGCACCATGGGAAGAAGGATATCAGCAACACACTAACTCAATCGTAGCCATGATCGAAAAGAACGACATCAACAAGAACAACTCACTCCTACTAGACCCAAACACTGCTGCTGCTGCTTCCTACTACCTCTCTGACTCATCAAACCAACCATCGATGTTCTCAGGATCACCAACAAACCAATCATCAATCGATCACCACCAACAAAACAACAACCAAAACGAACCATCATCATCATCATCACTCACCCATAACAACAACAACACCACCACTAACAACAACAACCCAATCAGTCCCATCTCTCCAAACGGAATCGATTCAAAAGACTCATCAAAACCCAAAAAAGATCGAAGAGAAACAACCATCAAGAGCGTCTTTGGCGGTTTCGTCAGCTCAGTCAACGGTCAGTATCCATACACACACACACACACACACCAAAAAAAAAAGATGACTGATTCTTTCTCATTATCAAGATTTATTATCCAATCAGAAAAAGGTCGAAGTCTCAGCACCCTACGATCCAGTCCATCTAACTCATGTCGGATTCAACTCCAACACCGGAGAGTTCACCGGTCTACCCAAGGAGTGGCAGATCAGACTACAAGAATCCGGTATCTCTCGTCAGGAGCAAGAGGCCCATCCCCAGGCCGTCAAGGATATCGTTGCCTTCTATCAGGATGCTACCAAGGTCGATGGCGAATTGCAGTTCGATGACGTCTGGCAGAAGTTCGGACACGTAGCCGAAGCTGACCTCCATCAGCCACTCAAAGATCCTTCCGGCGTGGTCTTTGAAAACCCGGTATGCATCCTCATCCATACATAGCTAGCCACTACTACATCTCATATAATATTGAAGCAAACCTTGATCTCTTTCATCATCAGCGATCAGCACCCGCACCCCCACCACCCTCTCGTCCGAACCTTGCCCTCCGCTCTCAGACTACTCTCCCACCCACTGGCCTCACCTCGGCAAGTTCGATGAGCAGACGTCCATCGGACTCGAATGCACCAGTCACCTCCCCAGTTCAGCTCACCAGCTCGAAATCATTTACCGGTCGACCTTCCAAGTCTAAAGCCCGACCCAACTCACTCGATGCCCCTTCGATTCACGCCCAACCATTGTCAGATAAGGAGCAAACTCATTCCAGCCAGCCCCCACTCGATCGCTCCAAGTCCTACCGCAACCCGAACAAATCACCCCATCCAGCTTCCTCTTCTCCCACCAACTGGTCCGTCCAACCCAGCCCCGCCAAACTTAATAATACCGTCGCCAAGGGTATACCCATCCCTCAGAGACCCGCCCCTCCTAAACCATCGAGCTCCTCTAAACTCGGCAAATCTAGCTCCGTCAAAGTCTCAGCCTCTTCCTCCTCTCCTAACGCTCATCAGGCTCCCTCATCGGTCCCCCGGAAACGCGAACAGAAATCAACAAAGGTCTCCGATCAAGAAATCATCGCTCGGTTGAAGGCCATCTGTACCGATGCTGACCCCACCAAATTATATCGAAATCTGATCAAGATCGGCCAAGGGTGAGGATGTGTTTATCCTGATGGCAGGGGTAAAAACAGCAGCAGAACAGCTTACAAGACGGGTGTTTTCTTTTCTTTTTTTTTTTTTTTTAGTGCATCGGGAGGAGTTTACACGGCATACCAAGTGGGCACAAATTCATTAGTGGCGATCAAGCAGATGAATCTAGAGCAACAGCCCAAGAAGGATCTGATCATCAACGAGATCGTCGTCATGAAGTCCTCGACCCACCCCAACATTGTGAACTTTATCGACTCCTTCCTGCTCAAGGGAGATCTATGGGTGGTCATGGAGTACATGGAGGGCGGTTCCTTGACGGACGTGGTGACCTGTAACATCATGACTGAGGGGCAGATCGCCGCCGTCTCTAAGGAGGTCCTCCACGGCCTCTACCATCTCCATTCTCATGGCGTCATCCATCGGGATATCAAGTCCGATAACGTCCTACTCTCCCTACAGGGCGACGTCAAACTGAGTGAGTTTGCACCTTGTCGATCTTTTTTTTTGTTTTGTTTTCGCGGTTGTTGACCGTCGTCTCTTCCCGTTCCGATAGCCGATTTCGGCTTCTGTGCCCAGATCAACGAGGGCAATGCTAAGCGGACCACCATGGTCGGCACACCCTACTGGATGGCCCCGGAGGTAGTGACGCGCAAGGAGTATGGACCGAAGGTGGACATCTGGTCCTTAGGGATCATGTGTATCGAGATGGTCGAGGGCGAACCGCCATGTAAGTTTCTCTCTCTCTCTCTCTTGGGCTCACAGTTAAGAAGAAGGGCGAGACTGATGGTTTCGGGATCTTCGACAGATCTGGCCGATAACCCGCTCAGAGCTCTCTATCTGATCGCCACCAATGGGACACCCAAGCTCGATAAGACCAAGTATTCGAGCCTCTTGCTCGACTTCCTGGGCTTCGCGTTGGAGGTCCAGGTGGACCGCAGACCCGACTCGGTCGGCCTCCTCAATCATAAATTTATCACACACCATTGCGCACCTACGTCGACTAATAAAAATAACAAGTTGGATCATCTTAGGTCGCTTGGGCCTCTTATTAAGGTCTCGCTTCTTTTCTTTTCTTTTCTTTTCTTTTTTTTTTTTTTGATCTATCGTGGGTTCTAGTGCTGACTCGTCCTCCTCTTCTCGTTTTCCTTGTCGGGGTTTTTTTATTCAGGCTGCGAGACAACAAGCTAAAGGAAAATAATCTTCTCTTCCTTTTACTTTGCCAACTCGTTTTTTTTTCTTTCTTTTCTTCTATTCTTCATCTTCTTCTTGTGATCAAATCACCTCACTTTCCTTTTATATTTTTATCTTCTATTCCTCCACATATATACATATATACATAAAGATATATATATATAATTTGGTCTGGGTCTTGTGATCAGTCTTCTTTATCATTTCTCATTTTATCATCTCCCATCTCATTTTTTTTCAAATCATCATACATATACATTCATTAGTTTGGTTGAGCTGTGTTCATGTTGTTGGTTTCTCTCTCATTTTTATTGAGGGCTTGGTTTGTGATTTTGTGTTGTTTATGATGTTTGTGAAGTGATTTGGAGTTCTACATACATATATAAAGAAAAAATGAAAGGGAGAGGTATATGAGGTGGGTTGGGGTTTCATTTTTTTCATTATTATTATTATACTCATAATCCCCCTCCTTCACATTTCTACAAATCCATATAAATTCATCTATCTATATATATATATAATATAGATTGATTGATATATGTATATAATGTTTACATTAGTCATTTGGTTGGTTTTTGTGTCTTCCTTTGGTGTCTTCTTTCTTCACAAAATAAGAGTAATATAATCTGAAAAAAAAAAATGGAGAAAAACCTTATAAACTGCTTGTCAATGCATTGACATCACAAATCGTTATATCTCCAGTACAAATCCATCAATCTGACCGTTTGTGTGGACAGAATCCATTGATCCATCCATCCATTCATTCCTGGCCCTATCCATCTCAGATTCTGTACAACCTTTCTGTGTGTCTGTCTCTATGAATGATCCGGATAAAGTATCTTCAGTAGTGAACACAGATGTACATAGATGTGGAGGTGATTCATGCTGTGTGTTTATATGTTGTCAGAAGGAGAAGGAGAAGTATTTAACTGGTGTCATCTGATGGGTGATTATCAGCTTGATTCAATTTCTGGTTTGTTAAAAAAACTTTCAATGTGGGACCTCAAGAAAGAGCTGGCTTAGTTACAATGTTCTTATAACCACTTTGTTTTTTTCTTTTGTATTCTCTGACATGTTTGTATCCGCCAGAAAGACCTGCATTGATGTTTTTGTTTGTGTTCATTGCAATGCAATGCGGCAATCATAAGGAAGGGTGTTCCTGTTTGATTTGCAGTGCTAAAAGCAGGTAGTGTAATCAATCTCTCTCAGATGAAGTGACTACAAGATGTCCTGGTTTTTTTTTTGCAAAGCAGAGTCTACTTTAGTGGACCTGTTCCAGATCTTCCAAGGTTTTTGAGAGTACATGCGATGAGACCAATGTAAGATATTTGCTGGGGGGGGGGGGGGAGGCAGGGCTTTCTTCAAAGGTCTTTGTGATGTGGCCTTTGTTTGGGGATTGTTGGTGTAACTTCAGCAGATTTCTTGTGTCAGGGGTTAATAATATCAAACCCCCCTCATAAAAGAAGAAATAAAGATTTGAAAAAAAAAAAAAGATAAAAACAAAATGAATAAAGATAAAAGTGGCAGACGTGCAAGGAATAATGAATGGACAATAAAACATAAGAAAGAGACTGCAGCCCAGTGAGACTGTGATTGAATGAGACACAACATGGCTTGGTCCCAATTGTTGATGGATCCCTCTGCTATTTCAATCACTTTCCACATCCCCGGCCAGCGGATAGCATAATCATAAATTGGCCTGGCCAGAGGTGCCATGAAATTACTTAAAGAAGCTCTGGTTGAGTAAAGAATAGAATCCCCAGTCCGGATTATAGGCTCAGGTCAGTGGTCCTTTCAATTCCTCCATCTCTGCAACTAATACATTCTAGTATCTTTGCCTCACCTCCTCACAAATCCTTAATGATTTTACCTCAACAATATTCACAACTAGTTACAAATACGACTGCTCAAGTTGCCTGCCTGTTAACTTGAGATTGTTGACTTCTATCCCACCTCTGAGCTTTCTTGAGTTGGTTTCCCTGACTTATAGCTGTATCTCTGAGCCTTGCCAAAGTTATACCAACATTCATCCCCATTCACTTTCTCCCCACCTCTGTAGTATTTCTAGTCATAGCCCTAGTTACTACTATCTCCACTAGCAAGTAACCCAAGCCTGACAGTTTGTGTAACGTCTGAAGATTGTTTGTGTAACTTCTGGGGATTTTATTTCAGATTAAATACCGGGATTTATCAAACCTGGTTCAAGGGCTCTCTACTTGTAAAGGAACAAAATATGTAGATGAAGGAAATGATTGGCAATGGAGGACTTCCTTTCAAGATCTTTGGGTCTCCCAGAAACAATTTAAAACCTTGAAAGCTAGATTTCGAAGCAGAAATCTGAAGTTTTTCCAGCCTGAATCAACACCTCCAAGTGTCTTAGATTTGACAGAAAGTCATCCAATGAAAAGGGCATCCTGATACAGAGAAAATCTGCGACTGAGGTTGATTTATGGAGGAGATTGATAGGAATCAAAATGATCTACATTCTCTCAACCTGGAAAGTTCGTCACCCACAACTTTCTGTTCAATTTGTACTCTATTGGCTATTGACAAATAATTTTGAGAAGATTGTTGACATCAACTCAGAAACCTTCTCTTAGGACCCCACTTATCCCTTTATTTTTTCACTAATTGCATAATGGTAAAATCAATTTGTAAACAAAGAATGGATAATTGCATAAAAAAAACAAAAAACAGATCACAGGCACACAAACAGAAACTGGCTTGGTGTAGAAAACAAAATAATTGATTTGGACCTGTATAGATGTTATAAATTGATGATGGGAGATAAATTCAAAAAAGGAAACAAAAAATCTGACAATCAACCAAAATTAAGCTTGAGCCTCTGTAAGAATTAGGATGCTTGAGCTGCAATCAAAAACATAAAATATAGATCTTGCCTTTAATGGTTCCATCTGAAGAAAACAAAAGAGGAAAAAAGCAATACAAAAACCCCAACAATAACATTCCTCATGGCAAAATCAATCATCATTGGATTTCTGGTTTCTATTTTTTGAAGTGCCTCATTTTTCAAGTAATCACTCATTCTATGAACGATTGAAGCCTTACATGATTCAATAGATTCCTTGAGAGATTCTCCACCTTCTTGAGACATGTAGAAAATCTCTGGATCTTGATACTTCAACCAATTTAGTGGAAGCTCATTGTTATTGTAAAATCTTTCATAGACTCCTTGAAAATGTTGAAATTCACTCTGTGATCTTTCATCATAGTGATTGAGGATTCCTATTATATTGGTTGGGTTGGCTTTATATGGTTCTTCATCTAAATGGTCAGAGAAAAATTTTGAATAGCTGGAAATTATCGCAAATGATTCTAAAGATCTTGAGAAAGCTAGCACCAATTCTTTGATCTTCTTAAAGTTCATCCCAAACCACTTGATTGTTTCTCCTGGAATTTCCCTTGTGACCTCTACATGATAATTTATTTCAATGAAATCCAAATATTGGAAGATGGCATGGGAAAGTTTGACATTTTCCCAAGTATTTTGGGAATTGGGAGTGACTGGACCATAGATCTTGATGAGAATATGGGTTAAGTGTTTGATGTCATCCTTGAGCTCTTTTGGGACATTGAAGCTTGGAGGCACTTGAATGGTTTCTTTTCCATTCAAATATCTTGGTTTTTGGGTATCATTGATACCTTCCCATTTTAACATTTTCCCTTGAGACGAAAAATAATTGAGGCCAGTTTTCCATGGTGGTGATAGAGAGACTTGGTTCAATTTCTTTCCAAAAAACTTCACTTTCTCTGATAAGAATGATTGATTCAAATTTCTTATTTCTTTTTCACTTAGCACTATTTCAAGTACAAATAATGAGATTTGTCAGTTAACAGAGTTGATGAATAGAAATAACTTAGTGGGAATCATAAAAACAAAATACAAAAAATCGGTTTACCTTGAAAGACTTCACTCATCAATGACCAACATGGGTGGTTGGTAATCAAGCCATAAACTTTCCAAATGTAATCTTCTTCTTCTCCTGAATCTTTAAGATAAGAAAGTATGTACTGAATCACATTTCTCAAAAATCCCTCTTCTTGAAAGCTGGTTCTAACAAATTCTTGATTGATGAAACTGTGTTTGTATAAATAATTCATTGTTTTTATTATGTACTTTGAAGCTGGCAAATCTGGATTTGGATCAACCAATTCTAAAGAATTGAATTGTTGGCTACACTTGGTTACCAGTTCCTTCATTTCAATCATCAATGAGCAGCCAAATTCTTCCCACATTTGATTTGGATTAGACCTATCGCTTTCATTGATGAATTTTTGGATGAAATTGTCTTGTTGTGCATTTTCAAATATAGAATCAAGTATCATCAGCTCAGAGTATAACTCCAGCTCACCAAGCTTCAAGAGATTCCATTGCTTCAAGAGAGAAATCTTTCTTTTGGATGTTTCAAAAAGTTCAATTGATAGAGAAACTTCTCTGGGATCATGAAATGGATTGGATTTAATCAGATTGAATTGATTTTGAATCTGTGACTGAATTTCAACAAGCTCTCTTGAATCTTTGTATGTTGAGATGACCTCATCTGTAAATCAAGTTTGTGTATTGTTTAACCAACAGGTCAAATATCTCATCATCAATACAACAAAGACTCACTCCAATTTTTCTTCCAATTCTTTATCATTTGTAAACCTGTAAAAATGAGTTCTATCTGTTTCAGTGGTTGATCAAATTGTGAATATTTCAAGATTTGTTGATAAACTAACACTTATCAGCTTTCAGGGAACTCAAAAAGGGTGAATCCTTGGCCAGTTTCTGCAAAAAATGGTCTCTTGAATGTTCACTAGCTTGATCTAATTCATTTCCTTTTTTGGAGAGAGAAAGTAATGAGTAGTTTTCTGATGTTGTTGCTTTTCTATCATCTATTGTTTATTTTTTGAAATTGGAGGGAATGTCATGTTAAATAAAGACCTTATGCTTTGCTTCTTTGAGAAGGAATGACGTACCATGTAACACTGGAGAGCTAATTGCCTTGATCTTGCTGAATGTATTCAGGGGACGCATTGCGGCAATCACACCCCAAGCTATTGTGATCAGGCTAGCGTACACTGAGCAGGAACGCATCTTATTGTAGATTGTGAATTTATTGAACACGGAAAAATGCTGAGGATTGGTAATGAGAATGAGACCGTGTGATGCCATCTCAAAATGTATTTCTCGAGCAACCCATACCACTTCCTAAACATGGACACTGGACAGTCCTCCTAACACATGTCCCACTCTCGGTATTTTGTGCAGGATATGTAAACAGTAGCCCTAACCTCGAGTGCGACCTCCTCGAAGGCACTTGTGTCAAGTTCGTCCTAACCTGTGTCAGCTCCAGCACACTCGGGTCACTCACATTTTGCTTGAGTTTTCTCTCAAGATAGGGTTCCGATTCAGACCC